TGTTATGTATAAAATCCAGCGCAGCCTGATGCAGATTAGCAGTGGAAAAAAAACCCAACTAAACTAAACTAAAAATCTCTAAACTTAAGTGCAGCGTTCAGATCCTTGCACTTGTCCTTCAGTCATTTTTTGTCACTTTAAGCTTTTATTTGATCTCAGATGGAAAATTGTTCTTTTTAAATCCTCTGTGTTTATCCTGTGATTGAGAATATTACATGTATTATTATACTACTTATGTTGAATATGTTGAAGCTAGGCAACAATATATAAAGTGATAAAGACCAGTAATATCTCTACAACAAATGTACACATTAATGCAAATGTTATAAGTGTGTTATTATGCCTAATACTAGTACTTATAATTACATATTTATGCTGGTAGTTTTTGTACTTTTACCTGTAGTCACATGGAAAAGAAGGTTTTCATGTGGATCTTACATTGTTGTTGTGGAATCTTGGCTCTTTCTTTTACAATATCAGTTCAGCTGAGTTGAGTTTGCATGCATTTGTTTATGCACAGCTCTCTTAAAGTCCCACCACAGCATTTCAGACATAGTGCGATCAGGATTTTTACTGGACCATTGCACCATTTCGATTCTTTTCTTTTTTCAGCAATTTTGTTGTAGATTTTCTGCTGTGCTTGGAATCATCGTCCTATTGCACAACCCAAGTTTTAGATGTCAAATTGATGACCTCACATTTGACTCTAGAATATTTTGGTACACAGAGGCGTTCGTGGTGGACTCAGTGACTTCAAGGTTTCCGGGTCCTGTGGCAGCAAAATAAACCCAAATCATTGCCCCTCCCCCACCACACTTGGTAGTTGGTATGAGGTGTTTGTGCTGATATGCTGTGTTAGGTATTCTGTAATTGTGGCATTGCGGTCAAACATCCCTACTTTGGTCCAAACAACATTGTTCCAGAAGTCTTGTGCTTTGTTCAGATGCAAGTCTTCTTTTTAGAGAGAAGAGGATAAATATACAGTTAAATTCACGTAGCGAATAGAATCGAATAGGATAGCCCTTTATCATTGTACATGTACAAATGAATGAAATTATGGAATTTATTTTCTTTTTCCAAAGTGCCAAAATGTCTGCTCTTACAGAGGTGCTCACACTTGTTAATGAAGTGCATTTTCACCACCCTACATCACATCTGCTGTATAAAAATCTAACACCTCAACACTGCTAATTTGGGGTTGCTGACTTAAAAAAATAGCAACGCATTTTGCTCGCTCACATTGTGTTTTTTTTGGCAATTGTAAACATGATCAAGATGGGTTCTTTTTTTCTGGAATATCCGTGGATGCTTTATCACATCAAAACAGCCAAAACAACCAACAACCAAGGCAAGCAAGCCACAGGCACCTCATTCGGTTTGCCAGGAGCGTGTCAAAACCTTGAAACACTGAGTAAGAGAAGGAGAAAAGAGCCAAATCACTTTGATGACAGCTACTTCTGTTTAGTTAATATTCTGGATACACACATGCACGCAGCAAAACAGAGAACAGAGGAGAGCAACACAACAACAGGACAGACTCACACCAGGCTGAAAGTCAACACAGACAACACAAGCAGCAAAGATTCATATGTTGTGTAGCACAATGAATGCTATATTTTCATATTGCATTGTAAATCACCAGTTAGTGGCAACAGTTGCTAATGTTAGATAAACCTTTTTTGAGATCACCTACTCTGACAAGTTAAAATAAAATCAGTTTCTGAGATTTTCATGTATGAAACCATTTGAATCTGTGCATCCTGAGACTGTCATCTATTAATCTGTCAGTCCAGCTTACTTACATACTGTATAGATGTTACATAAAAATATTTTAGGGTATGACTGTGCGAATTTCTCTGTTTGAATATATTTATTACCAGTATATAAGCTGAAATTCAGCTTTGTTTTACCTTTGTGAGGAGTCTGAAATGAGCACAGAGCAGCAGGCACAGTCTGCCTGAGAAGACAGTATGTGGGTGGATTGAGAAATGCTGCATCTCTGCACACATGCAGAGCGTTGACACTGACATCTGCTCCATCTGCTGCCCCTGCCACTTCAGCACAGACTTTACAGTGACGGAGAGAGGAGTGAGACACGTGCTGGGCGAAACAGGTGAGGAGTCTGTTCAGCTTCACTGCCAATGGAAGACTGGGGAAAAATACCTGCTCAATTCGGCTTGAAAGGGGCTAATTAACTTGATCATTTCTTACTTCAGCACACTTGATGAATCAGACTTGTTGCAGACTTTTCCTGAAAAACGTCATCTGCTTGTGTTGTCTTCGTACACCTCCATCTTTGTAAGCCACAAGTAATCCAAAGCCAGTGACAGACTGGCGCACACATCACTGAAAATGAGCTAAAGCTGTTGGAACAAATGTAACACCTCTGCCACCTCAACCTGACACAAATCACATCCCTACAGTTCAAAAAGCTGAACTAAACCAGAAGGAAGAGCTTGTGCAAAGGATAAAGCGGCAACAGCACCGTTTACATGTTAAATTAATGAGCAACATTTATTCAGATGATAATTGGGTAGAGCTTGAAAAACAAAAAAAAAAAGAAAAAGATTCTGGAATAATCCAGAATGTAAAAGCCAAAAATTAGCCAAACTGTCAATATTAACACATTTTAAGTGTAAATGATATTTTACTATTAATGAAGACATATCTAGTACCTTTTCCAGATAAGAATTTCCAGCAGACCAATTTCTTTATGTAGTGAATTTTAAAGGCCAGTATATAGCTGCCTGTTTCATACTATTCATTAATTTTTTCTCCTGTTCTCAGATAATAAATTTCTCAGCGTGTCACATATGAGACCAGCTTGGCTATGTAAGATATATTCACCAGCCGCTTTGTAAGGTACACCTGTTCAAGAGCTTGTTACTGCAAAAGTTTAATTGTCCAATCACACGGCAGCAAATGAGTGCATTTAGGCACGTCGCCATGGTTAAGACAATCCATTGAAGTACAAACAAGAATGAAGGAAGTGTCTGAGTGTTTCAGAAACTGCTGATCTACTTGGATTGTTCAACACAACCATTTCTAGTGTTTATAGAGAACGATCTGAAGAAGAGAACATTTCCACTGGTTGAAAATACCTTGTTGATGCCAAAGGTTAGAGGAGAATGGCTTTGGGCTAACAGAAAGGCAACAGTAACTCGACCATTCAAACAACCATTGCCCAAGCCACAATTGGTGCTGGAATTTGAATGGTAGGGTCAGAACTTTGCATAAATGACATGAAAACATGGATCCATCCTGCCTTGTATCAGTAATTCTGGCTGTGCAGTTACTTGAAGAACTACAAAAGTCGCATTGTCTCAAGAAAATCACCCATATCCTTCAAGACCCATCATGCCTCAAATCATCTAAAATTGGTTTTCTGGACTTAGTTCATTGTATTCAAATGGCCTCCACAGTCACCAGTTCTCAATACAATATACAGCCTTACTTTAAAAGTCACAAAATTCAGCATTTATTTATGTGCCTAAATCGCAGACAGAATGAGCACCAGTTTCCACTCTGCGGAGAAAAAAAAAAAAAAAGAGTTGAAGCTTTAGACGGAAAATAAAAGGCAAAGAGGAAAGATCAAAGTCTAGTTTTTCGAGGCTGGGTGGAACACATTCTCCAGTAAAGACACAAAGTTGACATGAGAAAAACTGTATTGAACGAAATAAGCAATTTCACTCTGCTGCCTCTTGTTTTGTTTTGAAACCTTGATTTTAGAAGACTTGTGGAGGCGTAACAAGTTTTTTTCTCCTTCACATCCTCTTAAATTTTCTGCATTTCAGTACAGACGCCTCTCCGCAGTCATCAAAGGTTGAATGTGCAGTTATAATCAGGCCGTTAGCTGAGGCTGATGCGGCGGTTGCTCTCTGCTCCGATAAGCCTGCCAGAGGCCGGCGGTCTCCTGCCTGTAATACATTTGTCACAGTTTCCCCAAGACACATGAGCGAGCCCCACACAAATGAAGACTGAAATATCTGCTTCCGTTTGTCTGCGTCAGAGAAGAGCATCGTTCACCCTTACTCAGCAGTATTCTGTCTCAATTTGAAGAATCTGCAATGAGGTGTGAATGCCTCTCAATAATATACTCGTCATTCCTCTGCCAAGGGAAAAGCAGAGGTATACTTTCAGTGCTTTTTGTCAGCAGGAAAGATCACAAAATCTAGAGCCAAAGATCATGTAACTGGGTAGAGAGATGGAACCCCAGCCAGAGGAATAACCCATTAAATTCTGGCACAGATATACATGAACCAGTTTAAAGATATGACAAAGGACATTGTTCTTTCTATTTGTGTAACTGTTGAAAGAAATCTACAATAATGTATTTATTATATGAGAAATTCTAAAGTGAAATAAATTCTGATTAGCTTTTATTGAAGTTCATGAAACTATTTGCAAAATTAAATCAATCTTGCATAGACTGACTCTGCACATTTCTGTGGTTTCTCTTCTTCGAGTTTGCCTCAAACTTATTTCAGCAGATCCAACTTAATTAAAAGGAAGATAATCATTTCAATTAGCAGTAATTTATATTTGGAGGTAAGGCTCTTTTTTGTGACCTACCAGTCTGTTTCGGTATAACCCTGTATGTGTAAGCATTTAAAAAAAAAAAAAAAAAAGAAAAAAAAGGGAGGTAGTGACATGGATTTGGGTTGCCAAGCAGCTTGAAGATGCAACTGTAAGCAGGCTAAAGATATTATTCTGTGCCCCCCATGCCCTCCTGACACCCCAAGTTCTCATATGGGGACATTAAAATTTGATATTTCTGCACCTTATACTTCATTCTGCTTAACAAAGTATTTTATACTTTGTCAAATAACGGCAGCTTTATTGTGTTTTACTTTAAACTAAACTGTCCCCATGTGAGGACAAACAATCCCCAAATAGCTAGGTGAAATAAAAAAAATTAAAAAATCAACCCCAAACAAAAGCTCAGGTCACGGTGGGTTGGAGACTTGACTGATACACAGAAGGAAGGTTCAGCTGAGTAATCGAGTGACTTTGATTTTATTGTCTGCATTAATTAAAACTACATCCAATCTAACAGCCATGACATCCCGAAGAGGATGCTGCTTATTATCATTTTAACCCTCAGTGCTGCAGTTATGTGGCTTGTGCCAGTTATACAATTTTCACCTCTGCAGCTTTCCAAAAAAATTACAATGAAATTATGTTTTCTTTTTATACTCTTTCCCCAATGAAAGCAGCATTTGATGACTTCTTCCTCAATGATGAGTTTTGACACCTCAGTAAAAACCAATAAAGACATGGTTAGACAATCATTAGAATAGTTTTTGTTTTTCCAGGAGTAGTTAAATGGGCAGAGACCACTCACACCAACATCTGATTAAAAAAAAACAGTTACCTTGCTCTATAAGCAGCCCTGAAAAACCACTCATTTCATAAAAGAGCTCCTTTCATCACTTGTTTTTTGCAAATGCAAACGGATCTCCACTAGGAAGTACAAAAACAGCTAAAAAAAAGATTTGAAGTAAATATTCATGTTATAAATATAATTTTACTATAAAATTTACTGAATTGTATGGTTTCGACAAGCCTCACATTTATGACCAAATGGTGCTCCGGTTCCTAATTTCACTAAATGAATCCGCTTATTAATTCAAACCTACAGTAAACTAAAAAGTTACCAAGAATTTTAATCCAAGCGGCTCTTTTACAGTTTAAAAATATCAACATGTACATCAGGTCATTTTCTAACACTTTATATCAGGAGAAATAAATACATAATTTTAATACAATCCCCTGTTCTTCTCACAATTATACAAGACTTGAGTACATTTAAACTAAAAACACACAATAACAAATGTTATAATATAACAAGCAGCAACAATCTGAACGTCTTACAAAACTTGAGCTGACAACATTACAAGATTAAAAACAAACTAAACACTAACCACGATCGAACTTCCCACTGTGGTCAAACACTCCTACGCCTTGGTGATGTAACCCTCTTTGATTAGGAAGTCATAGATCTTGCGAGTCTTGTTGACGTCGATCTTGATCAGCGCCCGCGCCTGCGCCAGCCGCAGCCCGCCCTGCCGTCTGCACTCGTTAAGTAAAGCTTGTTTGTACTCCAGGTAGGCGCCCGGTACCAGCCGCACCACCTGACACAGCTACAACCACAAAATAAACACAGGGTTTAGAAACGGAGGGAGTAGCTTTAAAAAACAAACACACCGGTAAATACAGTGCTAAAGTCTTGAGCCAACTCTCATTTCTTTACCTTTTTCTAAGAAAATACGTGAAGTGATTTATGTATTTTTCCAACTTGGGCATGCTTTTATTCCAATGGCAGTGTATTTGGCATCATTGTCAAGCTGGAAAAATTAAGACAATCACATGCTTTCAGATAGTATTCCACGATGGATCCAAATCTGACTGTACTTTTCTGTGTTCATAATTCCATCACTTCTGATAAGATTCCCAACACCACTGTCCAAAATGGAGATCCAAACCATGACAGAGGGAAGTCATTAAGAGAGGCCAGGGCCATGTTGTTGACATAGATGTGTAAGCAGATGACTAATGAGAAACGACTTAACGCATATTGACCCTTATTCCATCTGCCTGACCATATCTTTACCTCTTTCTCCCGCTCGTTGAGCTTCTCTGTTCCCGGCAGTCCGGTCAGGTTGAGAGGTGGGGCGCTCCGCCTACCTGTTGCTGTGGAGCAAAAAATTTCTACAGTCAAATGGAAATTCAGCACCACAATGTTAGCCAACCCTTCAGAGAACATAATAGCAGCCTGGCAACATGCAGTTAATTCCTTTGCATCGAAGAGACGGGCGAACAAATATTTACGCTGTGCAAATTGTGTAAATATAGCCATGTGGGAGTGTGCGTCCCATTTGTGCTCTGGAGGTTAGGGAAAGGCAGTTAATTTGAAAGGGAAACAAAAATAGCTAGGAAAATATGCAAGCAGGGGGCTATTTTTGAGCAGATAAATGGAGAAGTTGTTTGCATTAATGTGCCGGGAGCCACGGAGAGGACAGAATACATAAGGAAAGGTGGAAAGAAACGCCGTACCTGACACTGTGATTGTTGTGACAGCTGGAGTGATTCCAGCATCTCTGCAATCATTAAGAAAAGTGTTATTATCTTGGCTGCCATGTTTATTTATGTACACACACACACACACACACACACACACCCACACACACACACACACACACACCCCCACCCCTGGGCTTTTGTTCACTACTCTCACTCCAGGATCATCAGCCAGAAAAGAAGAATCATAGCATTCAAGGTTTTTTTTAAAAGGTAGAATAATTGGAAGAACTTGGATAACATCCAAAGAAAAGGATGAAAACAAGAGGAGCAGCGACCCATTAAAAGGACTAAAAATACAGCAGAGACTGTGGTGTAAGCGAGATGCTCTATAATACAGCTCGATTCATCTCAGCATGAACAGTGCTGGGAGTGATGACAGAGGTCAGTGTCTCCAGAGAGCGCGGCTTCACTAGCCCTTCTATTACACGCTGGGCTACAAGCGGGGAGTTTAGAGCCTTACATTGCAGCCTGTTTGCTGAGCCACTGCTGACAGGCTCTGCCATCCTGGATGTACTGCAGCACGTCACACAGCATGGTCCTCTTCCTCCGCTCGTCTTCACGCATTCGCTTCACCCGCTCGTACACCTTGGCACCTATTGCACAGAAAGGTGAACAAAGAGCGTACAAAATTAGGGCTGCGACTCGAAACTGCTACGCTGTTTAGGCCATAAAGTATCAGAAACTGCCAAAAATGTCCTTTACAATTTCGCACAGTTCAAGCTAACACCCTCACATGTCTTACTCTGCTGGATCAACAGTCCACATACCAAAGAAAAGCCCTAGGAGCCTGCGCACTTTTAGTCTTTCCGTGGCACACATTAACAAGCTGGTCCAGGATTAAAATTCCAAAAATGATCCAAACACTGTGAGTGTTCTGCTGGTGCAGCAAAAAATAATTGATTTGAACTGAACTAAAAATAAAGTGCAAGCCTGAATATAAACACATTTTCCTGCTTATGCACACAACTTTAAAATGAAGTTTTTGTTCAGGGGAGGAGGGAAAGAAAAGTTCAAACTTGACTCACTGCAGAAAGACTTGATCCCTGCTTTCCTGTACTCCTGCAGCCTGCGGATCTCTCTCCTCAGCTCAAACTCCACTGGAAACAAAGAGAGAGAGAGATGAAGGCAGTTAAAAGCAAACCTGTGCAGACTGTTGCAGAGATCCCTGAACTCACTTTCACACAGCTGCAGCTCACATTTCATTTAGCACAATGAGTAAGCATTTTGTGCTTCTCAGAACAGTTTCATACAGCATTCATAAAAAATTAAATCAACATCTGGGAACTGGACAGCTCGAGGACTACTGAGAAAGACACAAAAGAAAACATCAATGTCTGAATTGATTACTGGACTTTTTATGACTTTCATGACATGAGTAACCCCCCCCCAAAAAAAAAAAAAAAAAAAAACAACATTTAGAAGCATCAAGCTCCATTACATATTTTTAGTATCTCATATTCAGATTAGTACATCTATGGCCGATATAACACCATCAATTAATCTACCAAGCTTCAGACTGTGGGAGGAAGCCGGAGTACACAGAAAACCTACATGCACAGTATTCAAACTCGACAGAGAAAGGCTGCAGTAGACCAGGAGATCTGAACCAGCAACCTGTTTGCTGCCCAGGACACTAATTTTTCCAGGTTTGAACTGTTTTATTGTTGTTTATCTAGGTCATTGTCTTTTTGTATCACCTAGCCTCTCCTGAACTTTGGGTTATGAACTGGTGTCCTGATTTTTTTTTGATACATTAGATACAAACAGGGACAGCAAATCCCCAACAAGCTTTATTTGTGTGCACTGCTTTTCAGGACACTGCCAAGGAATTGTTATGGGACATCCAGCTGGTCTGTTGCAGACTGCTTTCATTCACAGACACATGAACACGGATTTCAGCAGACTGTAGAGAATCCTGCAGGCTTTGATGTTATCCTGGTGTTTTTTTCCCCCCTCCTTTTTAAGCAATGGACTTGTTCTCACTGTGAACTTTGCAGCACGTCCACCTTTAGGGACAGTCCTGAATTTTCTTCATGCATGGACACTTTGTCCTACTGTGAACCAATTAACAGTGTAGTTTTAGCTTTGTGCAGCTCTGCAATGATTTGTCTGCAGTCCTGAAAAAGTTGTTGCAATAGATGCACGGTTCACATGAACCGTAAGTCCTTGACCATAAGAGCAGGTCTTTCTAGTATCCTGAGTTTTTTTTTTTTTTAAAGAAATCACTAACCTGCGCTATGACTGACTAATTAGTGTGGTCCAAAAAAATAACATTATCAGTTTAGTTCGTCTATCCATCTTCCACTTATCCAACGCAGGGTCACTGGGTGCTGGAGCCTAACCCAGCTGCAGGGGGTACACCCTGGACAGCTCACCAGTTTTGTGCAGAGCTAACAGCGAGAATGTGTTGCTCAATAACTGTGAAAGTGATTTTGATTATACTACATGTTATGAGTAATCAATCGATTAAGAAATCCTGGTTGTTCCAAAGATTAGTTACGATTTTTCTTGTAGCAGGATTAGCGTTCAACTTGAAGGTTAAGAAGACTGAAACCAACCTAATACATGCCTGTTTAATCTAACTGTGTGCTGGCTGTCGAACTGCAGCCAGAGCAGACTTAGCTTAGTTTAGCATAAAGATGGTAAACAAGTGGAAACAGCTAGCCAGGCTCCGTCCAACATGTAAAGAAAAAGAAAAAAATCCAGTCAGCACTTCCAAAGCTGACTAATTACCTTAATATATGTGAAGTGTAAAAATAAAAATCTGCTGTTTAAAGAGATGTAGGTGCTTGACTATTTCTTTGCAATGAACTGCAACTTCCTGGAGTCCCTGCTGGTTGCCAGGAAACTGCAACTGTCTGTGAGATGCCAATTTAAGAGATATCCAAATGACAGCAGAGGTTCAAAAACTTGATAAGCCTGTGTCAAGAAGCATTGCTGACTAATGAAGACATTTCGTGTTAGAATTTTCTTTAATTTGTACACAGACATAGTGGAAACGTGGGAATCTCTCAGAGAAAAACAGGAAGGGGTCTGGCATTACCTTCCCACAAAGATTAAAAATAACCTCCCTTGACGCTGCGATCGTCTGTGCGATGCTGAGACAGTGTGGCAAAAACTGGTCAAATCGATTCTCTGTGTTTGTGACAGTTGCTTAAATTGCACGTAACCCTGCCATGTGAACTCAGCCAGATACTAACATGCGTGACTTTCGATGAATTTGTCATGTTCAATTGGTCCAACCACTCTGGCAAATCTTCTCATGACATCATACAGCTCCTGCACCTCCTTTGGGTAGCATCGCTCCAGCACTACCGGAGACAGAGAGACGAGAAAGAGAGAGAGAGATGTGAGTAGGCAGGCAGATACAAACAAATATAAAACAGAAATATGAAAGAAAAATATCCCCAGCAGACACTTTTAGACGTGAGCAGTTTTTTTTTTTTTTTACTGCATTCTAGGTGAAGTAATTTGGTTTCTTTTTTGCAGTTAACCACCAGAGAACAGCCGTCAATTTGCAGCTCTGCATCAATGCTGTGCATATAGGCATGTAAATATTACCAACATTTATCACAGTCACCCTGTAGATGCACCGCTATGATTCTCTGAAGCTGGTGCAAGGGGAGAATTTGCATCCTGTAGCTACTAAATGGCCTGTATGGTCTCTCAGCATCCACGCAAACAGTGCTTAACAGATTTATCTAACCACAACCCAATGTAAGGCTTATGGAATAGCTGCCCTGAAGTAACAATACTGTTAGTTACCATGATTTATTCATGTTCTTGTAGGGGTTAACTGTACAGTAACCGTTCTTGTTCTGACAGGTGAACACACCTGTCAGCAAAAGGATTTCACACACATTTCTTTATTACACCTTCTTGCAACTGTTTCTTAATTTCTTACAATTTACACTACTCTCTTGCACATCTCTCAGTCTCACTGTTTACTTTTTGTTAACTTAGCTCTTGTTGTTTTTCTTTAACCACTGTTGTATGTATGAAATGTTTGCACTCTCTCACAGTATAAGGCTCTCTCTGTGTACCCGTGGCACTTTTATTATGTTGTTTATTTTCTGTAGACTGTACCACTTTTAATCTTGATCCTGTTGCTGTAACACAATATTTCCCTTGCGGGACGGAATGACTAACTGTAAGCAAGAAGTAGCAGCTCTTTGATCTAAATTAGATTTTTAATGCCAAAACCTTGTTATCCAATAATTTTCAGATTTGCTTTAAAAAAAAACAAACAAACAAAAAAAAACCAAAAAAACAAAACAAAAACCAAAACACGTCACATGTTTTTTGATTAGGTTCCAGTTATTTAGTTGCATTCCTGACAGATTTGTGTGTTTCTTGTTTTTCTGTTTTTCCAAAACAGCATCCAACACTGTTGATCCATGAAAAAATGAAAAGAAACCCCCCCCCCCCCCAAAAAAAACAAAAAAAAAAAAAACAACAAACACAAAAAAAAAACCACAACAATTTTATCCACCTTTTCTAAACTCACAGTCCACAACACCTCATCCCAGCTATCACAAGAGCCAGGGTTACTCTGGTCAGTTTGCCGTTCCTTCACAAGGCTACGACAGAGACAGACAACCATTCATCCTCACATTCACACCTACAGCCATGTATCCTAACATGCATGTCTCTGGCCTGTAGAAGGAAATTGGCTTACTGGGGAAAAAACAAGGTCCACAGCCAGCAGGTGGATTTAAACAGAGAACCTTTTATCTAAGAGGTGACACTGGATCATTTTACTGCCCCTAAAACCCTTCTCCTATCATAACTTAGTGAATGAACAGACATAATCATAACTTAAAGACTTAATAGCATCATATCATCTCAACAGAGTTCTTTGCTCTGAGCTTCCAGGCTTACACGTGGTTCACAGAATCTCCAAAAGCAGAATGGGTCTGACGAACTCTGAGTTATGGAAACAAATGCCATCTCTACTTTCAAGATTAGATTTTAAACTTTCCTTTTTGATAAAGCTTATAGTCTGCAGGGGGTCTGCTAACCTGAACCACTGCTTAGGTGTGTTGGTACAAACAGACCTCAGCAAAAGTGCTTGGGGACTTCCTTTGATGCACTCTTGCATTTTGTCTCCTTCAGTTTGTTTTGTCCCATTTGTTTTCATCCTTCTCCCCAAAAGGTTGTGACAGATGGCTGTCTCTCTCTGTTAAAACTGAGCTTTTCTTTCTCCCCATATGTGACTGTCATATCCTGGGGATCGACAAACACTGAACTGAAAATATATAATTTCATAATATAAAGCACCGTGAGACAACAGTTGTCCTGAACTAGCAATATATAGAAAAAATTCAAGTGGAAAAAAATCCATCAAAACATTTTGATAATTGTGATTACAAGCTGAACGTGGGTGACAAGTTAAAAAAAAAAAGTTAAACTGTGTTGGGTTATAATATGCCAACAGAACACTTTCAACGTTCCATGGGTTTGCACACATTTTGCCTAACAGTCCTGACAACTGTAGTCCCGGGAGATTTTTAAAGCAACTTAAAGGTTCCCTCAGACTGCTGGTTGTCAATGTCACCACACATCATCAGCGTACACCTGTTGTGTGCTTTCATCTATAACTCAGTGGATGTGCTGAAGAACAATGAATTAAACATTGTTTTGTTTAAGGTTGGCTGTAATAAAATGATATTTGATCAAAAATATTCAGGGCTGTCACGAAAAAAAAAAAGGATTTCTCCAAAAACGGGACGGTGGTAGAGATAAAAGAAAAGAACTCAAAGATGAAAAATAGTAAAAATAGTAAAGGGCATGAATGATTGTCTGCGTCTCGGAAACTCTACAGGAGAGATGGAATACCTTATAAAAAGATATTCCCCCTTATCTGTTGCTTTTACGATGACGGCGCGACCGCTGTCCACTACATGTTCAGCAGGGATGAGATCTGGAGATCGCAAATGCCACAGCAAACGACTCACATCATTTTCATTACATCACAGTAGAGACCAGAACAGAAATGCTTTATCACAGTATTAAGGTGAACACTCAGATCAACTTTATTGAATTGCAGTGACTCTTCACTCCAAGGAGACAAGTGAGCAAAAACCATTTGGAAAAATGATTCTCACAGCAATAACAGAGCCACTGCATAACCCTCATCGCAAGGGTCAAGGGCTCAGGTTTCTCTTTTAATTTGCCCCGCCCCCTGTCTACAGACAAGTAAATAATGGCGAGTTTCAAGGCAGTTTCACCTCCAGACTGCTCAGGTCGGACAGAGGCGGTACGCTCACTAATTGTTTTTGCACACAGTCTGTCACTTTACAAAAGTGTTTTGAGACTGAGTAATTTCCACACAGACAACCTTCATCAGTCGGAGGAGGAGACTGAACAACCCGAACAATTTTTCTGTGTATGACTATTTGGTGTTCGTACCTAATTCAAATCTAAACAGCCCAAATGAATTCGCACATTTCTGTACAAAGCTGCAGCGTGCCTTCTTCAGCTATAAATGCTGAATACATACAAACTGTCCAGCTAGCATATAGCCGATGGTTTAACTTGACAGTGCAATCAAAAGGGGCCAAAAGATTCAAATTTCAAAGCCAACAATGATTTTAATGCAACAGTTCTACAATTAGTTTTGGTCCCCTATCTTTTCTAATTGAAAGTGTAGTCAAGGAGCACTACAGGAAGAAAAAATGAATGAAATTAAACAGAATCAGCAACCCTGTCCCTGTGATTTGTCACAGTAACGCCCCACTGCTGTGTATTCACCATGTTTAGCTCTCACTCTGAAAGCGCTTGTTGTGCTCATGTGAAAGCATTGCCCGTGTTGCTGAGTAACAGACAAGTGTCAAAGCCACCGAGGAAAGCTAATGTGTGTGTGTCAGGGTCAAATTCCATCGTCAGACTCCAGCCTGCGAGAGCTAATTATCAGCTGCCATCTCAGGCTAAACACATGAAGTCATGCTCTGAGCAACACAAGGAAAAATGTTCATATCTCCGAGGAGACATCAATGCTGGACCTGTGTGTGGTTTCACATGATCGGCACACAAAACTCTGACTGCAAATAGCAACGTGACCTGAATCATTCAGAGAGGCGAGCTCTTACAGGACGTCAAACAGATCGCTGTCCTGAAACAACAACGCTGGTCATTCTGCCTCCAGCAGTCACTGAGACATGATACCGTGAGCCTCCTGGGCTCAGATACTGCTTCCATTATTGCATGTGACACACACACACACACACACACACACACACACACACACACACACACACACACACACACACACACACACACACACACACACACACTCTTTGACAGTCTCCATGACAACCAGTCTGCAGCTCTACAGCTACTCCGAGTTCCCTTTTGTCTCCAAAGACTGGGGAGATAAGGGAAAAAGAGGAAGGAGGGCTAACTGGAGGCTGGAGGATACATAAATAAAACATGAGGGGAGAACTCTTCAACTCCCCAACCACAGACAATTTCACAGAGCAACACATGGAGATATAACGAAGGGCAGGGTGGTCGCACATAGTTTAAAAAGACACGCTCTAATTGGACAAATCCATTCACAGCAGTTCTCGCTGTGTAATGAAAAAAAAACCCCAGAGATGCAAAGAATTACGTTACTGAGCTCGCTGCAACCCAACCTGTAACGGGTGGATCAATAAAAACAGCTCTCTTTCTCCTGACACACTTCAGCCATTATGGCAGCAAAGCTCACCGCACTGTGATTGCAATTATGCCGCGGCACACTCGAGCCAACGCAGGCTATTCGTACCCTTCGCTGTAAATATAAGCGCGGCCAGTTGCCACACATCAGCTACCAGAGGGGCCGTGGAGGTTAACGGTGGTTATTACAGCGGAGTTATTTGCATGCATCCATAGAAACCCTCTGTGCCGATTTGGCTGCCAGATATCGCATGTCTCCCTGAGCTGCTATGAATACTGTCGCAGCCAACCCCAAGAGTGTTTCAAAAGAGGACTCACTCTGGAATTTCCGCAGGTTGATCAATCCATGGTCTCGGATTATCCTGAAAGAAACAAAGACATGGATGTAGACATTTATTTTCTGACTTACGCTACACTTTGGAAAGTTAAAAATACAGTATATATCAACTATATGATCATTTTGAGGGCTGTAGTTTGGTGTGCTCGTGTCCATCACATTACATCATAATGAGGTTCTGCATTACAGCCCACAAATGACATTCTCCAAACTCTGCAAAGTAATCTGCAACAAAAACTGAGCATGCTGATCTTTGTGAAGACGTCCAAGCTGCACTGCACCCAACAAACTGGACACTGAGTGCATCGACATTACGCATTAATACACTGAAGCTTTTAATAACAAGCAGAAATAACTTACCATGTTAATTAAATTAGGAACAATAACATTTACAATTACTTACAGAAAATGAATTTAATGACTTATAACAGTATAAAAGCAATAAATGTGACACATTCAGGAGATTCCTACTTTCACGTCTGAGTTTCACAACATCTTTTTCAACCACATACAGAAACACTTTAAAACCAACAGCCCTGTTGATAAATGAAGGAGGAATATTTAGGACGCCTGGAAATTAAGCTCAAGGCTTTTCATGACTATTTAAAGGCCTGTTTTGAGGGGAATAAAATAAATGGCCTTTAGGCCCTCAAAACCTGCAATTATGCTAAAAAGTGTGCTTTAAGGTTCAGCTCAACTTCTGATCTTAAAAGCCTTTCTGACAAGCTACAAGTTAGCAGAGATAAAACCGGGTCTCAGGGACAGATGAGGGAGCTGTAAAACACTCATTCCCTCCTAGTCAGACATGCCATTCCAAGCGTGCTCAGGGAGCATGAAGTCGTTAAAAGTTGATTTAGTGATGGATACGCTGCAGCAACGCTTGTCCGTGTATGTCCAAGAATGACAGCTAATGTGTTAAAGGCAGATTAATATCCTTAGAAACCTTTAAAATTGACTTCAATTTCTTATTACATCAGCTGACTATCAGAATACAGAAAAATAGTCATTGTGATTTCCTGCAGCCCACAGTGACTTGAATTTGAGGGCTTTCCAGTACCCAATGATAACCACCAGTTGCCATTTTATTAGGTACAATGGGTTTTACTGTTTACTGTTTTAACTGCTGCTACATATGCAACGTTATCTATATTTCTCTACCCACCAAACTTAACTCAATAAATGTGAGATACATACAACAGAACTGAGTATTACTGGGATTTACAGTGGACTGTGAGACGAGCGTGAGCAGGGGGTGTGATCCCGGTAGCCTCTCTGATTAGCTACAAGTAAACTGTGCACAGTACATTTTCTATGAGCTTCAAAACATTTTCCAAACTCTCCTCTGGTGAGAATGCTCTCCATGCCCAACTAAAACTGGGCAAAATGTCAAGCAGCTTGGCATGCACGTCGTTCACTGGGGGGACAGACACATTTTCCCAATTTCCAAAAATATATTCAGGGTTTGAATAGAAGTTCCTGCAGCTTGTAAGTTGCACCTGAATGACTCCCTGCGGCTTGTAATGAGAGCCTGAAAAAGGCTTAAATATGCAATTATAATCACGCTGCTGACTTTGTGACAATCCCTCTCAGGATTTGTGTCTTTAAAAAGCTTTTAAGAAAATAACAAGGTTTAGATTAGAAGTTATAAATGTATTAGCGTAATGAAATCATTAATATTTAAATGGTGTAGATAGGATGTTGGAATTGTTAGCCTTGTTCATTTTAATACAGTATGAAATGCATTTTTTTCAACCTGAAAGTATAATGAAGTATCCGTGGAAACTGAGGTTCCACAATAAAGGCTTATGATGCCACCTGCTGACACACTGGAGTCATTACATTACATTGAATTAATTTTTCATCCCATAATAAATTAAAGGAGACCTACTTCTTCCTCCGTTGTCTCTCCTTTAATCTTGAATGATAAATATCAACAACTGCAAGCTTCAGTGCTGAAAAACAAGAACATGTGCGACACAGTTCACAGGTTTTGTAATGTAAATGCTGGGATTCACACTGTTGTTGTTTAGTTGTCAATAAAACAAAATGTAACCCACCACGAAGGACGTCTGAATCATCATCCACAAAGTCAATATCTTTCAAATCCCATTCTGCATAGTTGTCAAACTCCTTTAATAGAATGGACACGTAAGGGAAAATGCTATCAATATTAAACAGCAAATCAAACAACAGGAAGATTCATAGACCTTTTACATATGCCCAGAACTTGGAGGAAAGCATCCCTACAGTAAAGCATGGTGGTGGCAGCGTCATGCTGTGGTTAAGTTTTCCGGCAGTAGGAACTGGGAAACTAATCCGTGATGAGGGAAAGATTAATAATAACCTGCTCCATAGCACTTTTTTGTGTTTTAAACGCCAAAACAAAACAAATATAACACATTAAAAATTAACTCATGTAACTTGCCACTTAAGTACTTCATGAGCCACCTTTATCTTTTCCACACATACCTTTATTCTGTGCACTTTCGCGCTACCATGCATCCAAACACACAATCAGCTACAGGACAAATGTGTTCCCTCACCTCCATGAAGTCGGCTCTGGCAGGCATGTATCCAGCCATGTCGCGAGACAGCACCGAGTCAAATGTGGGCCGAGGGGGATCGTCGCTCGCTGTGGCATCACAGAAAATTTAGCAAGATAAAGCTTAAAAATGTAAAGATCAACAAAGAGCACCACCTCCAAATTTTGTGCATTTTATAAAATCAGACACGTAACAACCGTCTGTCTCTACTTTGAATTTGTCAAATGATGCAAGAATAAGACGTTAAAATGCTTGTGGAGCAGTCAACACTGTGACAGATGGAGACCTGAAGCCCGCCAGGAAATGAGACACGATCCTCAGTCACCAACTGCTTCTGCCCAACTGTCGGGCCGGTGGCTTCAAATTTTATATGTTAAACTTTCTTCTAGATGCCCTAAAGGCCCATAATGAAACCTGGAATAATATTTAATAAAACTAAATAATAAATAATAATAATAATAAACAATCAAACTTAATCTAAACACTTTTTAATAATGAAGTAAACATTGTGGGTGCTTACGTTTAAAAGGAATAGCGCCCTCTGCAACACGAGAGTCTTTTGCTTTCCGCAGGCTGAGCAGGGTGGAGGAGAAGAGTGGGTTATTGATGAAATTCTTCATGTAGTGGCTCTCACACTCCTCTTTGGTTTTAGTGCGCATCTGATACGCAACATCTTGCCTGATGAAGACAAGCAGGGAGAAGGAACAGATCAAAAATAACTGGAGGCTTTCATATGATACTTTTAGCCAACTAAGGCTATAGTTATGGCACTGTATGGTTCAAACACCTTTTTATGGGAGAAAAAAAATGTTCTTCATTAGAAACTTCAACCATGTCCTAAAACCTAATCTCTGTTTTCAAGACATCACCAAATCAAACATTTGAGTTTCAATCACCAGGCGTCTAAGTCAAACAATTAATATTTAACTTGTGAGCAAGCAAAACAGTTTGTGAATGCAGTGGTGCAGAGTGGTGACTACAACTCAAGAGTTTCAACCTCCAGGCTATGAAACTCAGTGTGCTCAAAAAAGAGCAGGAATTATAGGAAGAGGTCTCAGTCTTATGCAGGCTTGGCATAATTAGAAGAATTGAACTGATTTGTTTCACTCATTTACTTATGAATTACATTTTCTGTGAAAAACCGCAACTTCTTTATCATCAGAGTTTGAAAGCTGTGCAGAAACAGGAGGGAAAAAATGGATTTGCAAGATACATGGATATGAACCTACAATGCATTACACAAAAAACAACTATACAGTTCATCTACACCTTAATCTATTCATCAGCTGGCACATCGCTACCCGCGGGGAGAAGGACGCCATCTCCTGATATTCTAGTTTTTCTACTAGTGAGCTTGAGTTCAAACATGGGTGACTGCACTGTGACCCTTGTTCAGCCTTTCCTCCCTCGTGTTTTTCTCTCCCTGTGCATGAAAGCGTGGAAGGGTTTTAACAGCTTCGAGCTGATGGGCAACTTGAGCTGTAGCAACCGTTAACAGACAGTTAACTCTACATGGGTCAACATTATAGCACTAGCCTGGAGCCAGCTCTATAATTGATAGTTTTAATTATAATTTCATTTTAATTATAATTATAAATTATAGTTTTATAATTTATAGTTTTATAACAACTAATAAAGGCCTGTGCTACAGTACTGTTTGGCCAATTCATGATGTTGAGAAACTGATAAACTTAATCACACTGAGAAAAGTAGATCATAAAATCAAATATAGCAACATCTCCAAATTGTGACCCTTACAGTAACAATGTTACATCATTTGAGTTAAGCTTACGGTATTTCAAGATTATATTAAACATTTAATGATGGATAAAAAACTGTTTAAATGTACTTAAGCAAATGGGATTTGAAGCCATAAATATGCAACTATTATGAAAAATTATGTTCTAAAATCCTCATTTACTATATGGGAGTGCACTTCGTTGAACAAAACCTTGCATACCAGTTTTTATTTAAACAAAGAAGAGGCGTGGACTGTGTCAGACTGACAGGTGTAGTAATACAATAGTAGACAGTGGGCCATTAACCATACATAGATGTAGATACATTTTGCTCTATATAAATATACAATCAGTCCAATATTTATTTCCTATTTATTTACAAAAATAACATCCCATCCCAACATTTCTTTAAAACTTTTCTCAGTTTGATTAAGTACATCAGCCAGTCAACAGCATAAACAGGCCAACATGTACTGTCTGTTTTTAGGTGATTCCTAGGCAACATAACATTGTAATATCAGATATAGATAAGAACTTTCAGGTTTCTAAGTCATACATACAGTGGGGCAAAAAAGTATTTAGTCAGCCACCGATTGTGCAAGTTCCCCCACTTAAAATGATGACAGAGGTCAGTAATTTGCACCAGAGGTACACTTCAACTGTGAGAGACAGAATGTGAAAAAAAATCCATGAATTCACATGGTAGGATTTGTAAAGAATTTATTCGTAAATTAGGGAGGAAAATAAGTATTTGGTCACCTCAAACAAGGAAAATCTCTGGCTCTCACAGACCTGTAACGTCTTCTGTAAGAAGCTTTTCTGTCCCCCACTCGTTACCTGTATGAATGGCACCTGTTTGAACTCATCATCTGTATAAAAGACACCTGTCCACAGCCTCAAACAGTCAGACTCCAAACTCTGCCATGGCCAAGACCAAAGAGCTTTCGAAGGACACCAGGAAAAGTATTGTAGACCTGCACCAGACTGGGAAGAGTGAATCTACAATAGGCAAGCAGCTTGGTGTGAAAAAATCAACTGTGGGAGCAATCATCAGAAAATGGAAGACATACAAGACCACTGATAATCTCCCTCGATCTGGGGCTCCACGCAAGATCTCATCCCGTGGGGTCAAAATGATCATGAGAACGGTGAGCAAAGATCCCAGAACCACACGGGGGGACCTGGTGAATGACCTGCAGAGAGCTGGGACCAAAGTAACAAAGGTCACCATCAGTAACACACTACAACGGCAGGGAATCAAATCCCGCAGTGCCAGACGTGTTCCGCTGCTGAAGCCAGTGCATGTCCAGGCCCGTCTGAAGTTTGCCAGAGAGCACATGGATGATACAGCAGAGGATTGGGAGAATGTCATGTGGTCAGATGAAACCAAAGTAGAACTTTTTGGTATAAACTCAACTCGTCGTGTTTGGAGGAAGAAGAATACTGAGTTGCATCACAAGAACACCATACCTACTGTGAAGCATGGGGGTGGAAACATCATGCTATGGGGCTGTTTTTCTGCCAAGGGGACAGGACGACTGATCCGTGTTAAGGACAGAATGAATGGGGCCATGTATCGTGAGATTTGGAGCCAAAACCTCCTTCCATCAGTGAGAACTTTGAAGATGAAACGAGGCTGGGTCTTCCAACATGACAATGATCCAAAACACACCGCCCGGGCAACAAAGGAGTGGCTCCGTAAGAAGCATTTGAAAGTCCTGGAGTGGCCTAGCCAGTCTCCAGACCTCAACCCCATAGAAAATCTGTGGCGGAAGTTGAAAGTCCGTGTTGCTCGGCGACAGTCCCAAAACATCACTGCTCTCGAGAAGATCTGCATGGAGGAATGGGCCAAAACACCAGCTGTGTGTGCAAACCTGGTAAAGACCTATAGTAAACGTTTGACCTCTGTTATTGCCAACAAAGGTTATGTTACAAAGTATTGAGTTGTATTTTTGTTATTGACCAAATACTTATTTTCCACCCTGATTTACGAATAAATTCTTTACAAATCCTACCATGTGGATTCATGGATTTTTCTTTCACATTCTGTCTCTCACAGTTGAAGTGTACCTCTGGTGCAAATTACTGACCTCTGTCATCATTTTAGGTGGGGGAACTTGCAGAATCGGTGGCTGACTAAATACTTTTTTGCCCCACTGTATGTGCCAAGTTTGCTTGCTTAACTCCTGACTGTGTAGAAGTTTGCAGACAAAGAAGCAAACAAGAGAAATTCTCTGCAACATTTCGTTCACTTGTTATCTTTGTTACTGTCGGTAACAGATGTTTAGAGATTTTTTATGCACAATGATCTGAAAAATTAGCTTAAAGAGATGCAATTGCCATTAAATGAAACATTTATGTTGGAAAATAAGTTAGTGGTTATTTTTGCTGCCTGAGAGCAAGTAGAAGCTGTGTTCGAAGCCACAGGCCAAATAAGGCACAATACTAGATACTCTGGCTTCCTCCTAAAGTCCAGAGACTGCTTTTTAGGTTAACTTGTTCTAAAGTGACAGTAGATGAATGTGAGTGTGCACAGTTATCTGTCTCTGTGTTAGTCCTGCGACAGACCAATAACCCGTTTAGCTTGTACCCCACCTCTGGAAACTGGACTGCATGCCATAAATCTTAGCATTCAGGCTTTTTAAGAAATAAGGACATGTGTATGTAGTTTATAAGGAAATCTCACCAAACAACTAGAAAATACTAACCAATTTCCAAAGCCACAGTCCATGACGGCTTCAAGCAGGGCCATCTCTTCCTGGGCTGTCCACCCAGGCTCCAGCACGGGGAAATCTGACGTCTGCATAACAGGGTGAAAGATGAACATTGATGTTGAAAGACAGCCACACTGGATAAGATTTTATTTGTTTGTTTGTTTGTTTTTTTATTTCACTCACCATGATTTCATATTTGTGATCACTCTGGTGCTTCTTGTACTCAAATCCTCTGGTGAAGCACTGAAGGGAAACAAAATGTTTAGTTTCAGTCGGACTGGGTTTGTCTGCAGGTAAATTTAAGAGTTTTTGTGACCGATTCACCTGGAGGCACAGCAGGAAAGGTGAGGGTCCACATTCTGCACATTTGATATAAGGCTCAGTCAGATACGATGAACAACCTCTGCACGGCGGTTTATCGGAGGGGTCATCTGAAATCACGTGATTTTAACACTTTAAGTCACCAGGTAGGGTTGTATAACAAATCAGCTGACATTTCTTTACATGAAACGAGCTTACAATGTAAACAAGACTGCAGATTTCAATTTATTAGGCTTTACAGCGAGCTTTAAGCTAAACCACACATGCTAACTTTAAAGCGCCATGTATGATAATGTTTCATCACCGTTTGAAAAGCAGCTCAATAACAAAAGGCACTAAAGGCTGTTAAAGTAGTTAACACGCCGTGTTAGCATCGCTGCACGCTAACGCTAATGTTAGCATAGCAGCCCCAGCTTAATATAGCTAACCTGAGATAATAACCCCAAAAATGATAGACGATAACACTTTAAAGCTGAAGTTGATACGTGTATCTGTGACATATTACTAAAACTTACTTGCAAAAGATGCTAGGCGGTCCATAGGATTACGTTTAAATGAAACTTAATAACAGCTTCGACGTTTAGGTTCCATCTATTTTTCAAAGCTCGCAAGTGACCCTGATTGTGAAGGCACAGCTAATCGAGCTCAGATAACTCAATACTCCCCTTAGATATTTTCTATAAGGAGGATCGATAACTAACTAAGAAATGTAATACATGTAAAATATTTGGTATTTATATTACGGCTAAATATATAGAGATTATAATAATCCCACATTGGGCAAATATACTTGCTACAGCAGCACAAGGGTCAGAGACAAAATGTGAAGTAATTATATATTAGAAAACAATAAAAACAGAAAATAAAACAAGACTTACAAAAAAGCTAATACTTTTAAAAATGCAAAAATCAATAAAATACAAGACTAAAACATTTTTGTAGAAAATGTACTATATACACACACACTAATATACACTAAAAGCCACACCACAGAGATTAAACAACAAAACAAAATATATGTATAAAAAGTGCAGTGGGAATGATAATACATACACAAAAATGGTGGGCCGTCCTACACTGCGGCTAGAGGACTGGCCATGACAAAGCTGGCCCTCTTCATTAGAGTATTAAGTTGTTTCTGGTTCCTCTCCGTGCTGCCACCTCCCCAGCAGAAAACTGCATAAAAAATTGCAATAGACCTCACCAGGTCATAAAAAGTCCTCAGTAATGTCCTGCACGATCAAAAAGACCCAGAAGCCAACTTTGACCCTTCTTGTACATAGCCTTGGACCAGTAATCAAACCACTCCAATCTACTTTTAAGGTGAACCCCCAGATATTTGTAACTGTCCGCCACCCTGATGTCCAAACTATGGATGTTCACTGGTATGATAGGTGTTGGTTTTCTCCAGAAGTCAACCACCATCTCCGTTGTCTTACTGGTGTTAATGTGCAGGTGATATACAACCACTTTAAGCTAGAGGTAGAGTGAAATGGAGGCAGATGATCTGCTGTGGTGACCCCTAAATAAAAGGAACAGCTGAAAAAAGAAGACTGATATATATTTATATAATCATGTTAATTAGTTTAATTTTAATGTCACTTCGCCATTTATTTTTTTATTTTCTTTGCAATGACCTACCAAAACTTACAATTACGATTATATTGTACTATATTTATTTTTGTATGTTTTTTTTTTTTTTCATATTTCTTGTGTTTCAGCATTTCAGCTTCAGTATTCAAAGGCGCTGTCTGCTGTCTGGGTTGACCTTTCACCTGGCTGGCTCACAACACAACTATTAAAAAGGCAATCAAAATACATAAATAAACACATAAATATAACAATTATTAAATGTAGGAAAGGAAATTTAAACAAGAATATAAATAAATAGTTGAAATAATAATAATAATAATAATAAATGGTACAGGTAGAGACAAATTAAAGGTGAAATTTCTGTTAATGTTGCTGACAGCTCTTTATTGTTGTTTTTGCCATACATGTACAACAGTCCAAGAATAGTATGGAGTATAATACCTAATAATATCATATAAAATATAAAATCAAAATGTTTCACAGACACATGGAGATGATCTGTTTCACTTTTAATCTCTCACTTCTCTCACTGCAGTTTAGTGACATAGCCCCAGACCTAGTCCCAGTGAAAAGCGCCTTTATTAAAAACGATATTAAATAAAATTACAGCATGTTAGCAGGCTGGACTTCTTCTGAAAGGACCCCGTTTAGAAAAATTAAATAGTGTATGTATGTGATCTTTATTATTTTCGCCACTCTTCTGTCATTCTCCATCTTACCACAGGGTGCCGATCTTGGACTATTTCTCTATTGAAAACAATAAATGTCGTGCAAGTCTTTGTCTGCCTTTCTGTACACAGCACCACCTGAGCTTCATATAAGCAGCGTATATTAGGCTGAATAATGGAAAGAAAGATCATAGATGTGGAACCTTATACGCAACATCCCCATGCTGTTTTTTCTTGTCCCCCATAAAATTCTTCTACAAGTACTACTTGCCCTGAAAATGACTTTAAAACAGCTCATTCTGATGCAATAAATAGCTATGACTCCAGATATTTTCCAGGGTCTGTATCCAGCATTGGCCCCCTGAATCAAATAAAACCCCAGCAACTTAAGGTCGCCCCCTGTGATTGCACGCTAAGGGACCTAGCAAAGCAAATATCTGAACATTGATGTGTAAAACTGCAACCTTGCATGCATCAAAACCACTTAAAGTATGAAAAAAAAGAAATATTTTTGTGATTTGAGTAAAAGGACCCTCTGATTCAGTCCAGATGTGATGGAAGTAGCTCGGTAAAAAGAGGGCAGGCACTGGTGTAATGGTGTTAAACTAGGCCTATTGCTTTACACCTTAATTGCCACTCATGATATTTACAAAGAAATGTAATCCATTTCACATTTTCATAGTTTTCTGCTTGATTTCAAAAGATATAATGGTGTGCTTTATATAATTTGCTAAAGCCCAAAATTCATAAACAGGCTCTAATGTGGCTGTGAACGTGCACATTGGGTTAAATCTGTGTACTCTGCTTTCCTCCTGTTAGCCTGCGCTATGTCCATGAGGACGATCCACAGTGACAAGTGCGTTCAGTTGCAGCATACTCTGCGTCCCATCTCCTGACCCTCTGGGGCTGCACCAGACCTCTGGGGAGAGACTCAGACAGCACAAGAGCCCAGAGCAATGCAGATCCACTGGTAATGACAAAGTGGCTATCCGACAGACTGTGCATAATAGAGGGACAGTTGCACTCTCCCCCTCATTGGAATTTCCAGCTTCCTGCCAGAGCAGAGTTTATTTAACAGTCCTGTGAGAACGTTATGATTTATTTATCCTTGAAAGAGGAACTCTTCATTTCTGGGTGACAGTTTGGAGTACAAATGGAATATGGATGTGTGTAAACTCATAACGGCCACCTTTAAAAAGTGAACCTTTTCTTCTTGCTGGAAGTACACTATCTGATCAAATGTTTTATGTGCATACAAACACAAATCTCACATTAAACAAAGTACAATGAGATTAGTGCGTGTACATAAGTGAAATTTACAAGGCAAAAGATCAGTCTGAGAACGTTTTTTCTCCTCTGTGATTTGTGTGACATCAGTGATATGTCCTTGAGCATTTTTACAATCACCCTATGATTCGGTAGCTTGTCGAAGCAGCTTTAGCAACAACAAGTTGAAGTGATTGTTTTCTGTAAGACTTTATCAGTGGAGGAACTCTGGCTCACTCTTCTTCACAAAGTTCCTGGAGTTCATTGTTGTTTGTGAGCATTCGGTTACACGTAGCTCTCTTAAGGTCCCACCACACTGCAATCAGGTTGAGGTCTGATTCTTTTCTTTCTTCAGACATTCTGCTGTAGATTTGCTGCTGTGCTTGGGATCATTGTCCTGTTACATGATATAATTTCAGCCAACCTTTAGCTGTCACGCAGATGGCCTCACATTTGACTCTAGAATACTAAGGTATACAGAGGAGTTCATGGTCGACTCAATGATTGCAAGGTTCGTTGGCTATAAAACAAGCTCATATTAGCACCCTTCCACAACTGTGCTTGATAGTTGGTATTAGACGGTTGTTCCAATATGCTGTGTTTTGATTTGCCAAGTATGATGCTGTGCAGTGTGATGAATGTCTCCACTTTGGTCTCATCTGTTCAAAGGATATTGTTCCAGAAGTACTATGGTTTGTTCAGATGCAACTTTGTTCCTGAAATGTTCTTTTTACAGAGAAGAGGCTTTCTCTTGGCAGTCCTTTCAAACAAGCAAACAAGCTATTTAACATTTGACATCTTGACTGAGGTGTACAAATGTCAGGCTCAGGAGGGACTCGGAGTCAGACCGTCACTAAAGTTCACGTTTTATTTACACACACAGACACCAGGTGCGAATATATACAGGTGAGGGGGCACAGGAAGAGGGTCTCCGGGAAGCACAGGCACGGGAAGAAGAGGGCTATGTACAAAATCCACTGAAGCTCGGGTAGCTCGGACTCCGGCTTTAGCTCACCAACGGCGGTCCTCAGGCTGGCGAGAATCCTGGCACAGAGAGGAAAGGCAGGTAAGTAGTGGCACGACAGAAACTCAGAAAAAGGCTCAGATAGGTGATGACACTGACGAGTGTTACACAATAATCCAGCGAGGAAGCACTCTCCGCAGCCGCCTTAAGAAGTGAGTGAGATGATTGCTTGCAGGTGTCCGAGCCAGGGGCTGGAGCCGTCATGACTCCGCCCCGGTAGAGCGCAGTGCAGGGGAGAGAGAGAGCTGCAGCACAACAAAAACACTTGTAGCCATACAGAGTCAGCCGAGAAGGCACAGGGTCATGACAACAAAGGCTCAGATGGAGTACTTGGATTGGAAGTTGCTGAGATGTCCACTCCTTAGGAAGATTGTAGAACTTTGATAACATAAACCTGAATGCTCCAGATGAGGAAACTGAAAAACCTCTGCTTTTATAGAGGTGCTCACACTTGCTAATGATCAGTTAACCTGACCTGACTGCTACTTACTCTTAATTTCAATGGAAGCAGCAAGTGTTCACTTGGTTTTCCTCAGTACTTCATATATTAAGGACATACTGTTCAAACCTTGAGGCAGGCTGCCTAAAAGGGAGAGGGCACCTTGTTTTTGTCAGAGTTTGAACTGAGAGGCTGGAACAGGGCCCAGTGTGTAATAAGGATTGTTTTGAAATGAGAATCATGCAAAGCTGCTTTTTGGATATAACATTTCAGAATTAGTAAAAATTATTATAAAAGAATTGCAGTCATTAAAAAGAAAACAATCGCAGAACTCCAGATAACATCAGGAAAATGAAAACAATTAATATGGTAGGATCAGGAAGTACTATTGGAATATTTTCAAATTAGACTGTAAATCAGTTTTTCCTCTGTATGAGGTCAGCAACTGATGCTCATACTTCCCCCAAAAAGTATTGGATGGGGTTCAGGATGGTCAAGATCTTCCACAAAAATTAAAAGAAAAAGCTTGATAGACTTTTCCATAAAGATTTGCTCAAGGTATCTGAAATAAGACCTTTCACCTAACACTTCAAACTAATTTGTAGAAAATACGGTTGTCTAAATTATTATTGCATTATGTAGCATTGGT